AATTCAGAATTTCACACTGATCAAGAATATATATATATATATATATATAGACTTTATAGGGTCTCTTAAGAAGACCTCAGAAAAGGAGACCCAGTCTGACTTTACAAATGATATTCGAATAAAGAAATTATTGCACGATATCTGACCTCAGGCCTTAGGGCCTAGCTCAAGTTTTTCTTTTTAATGCCGAATGTACAGGCACGGATAGTCTTCTTCTGTTTTACGTGCAAAAGTAGATCTAGTACATGTTAGCCTTCGAATCATCCATTGACATCAAAAATTATCTTATATGATTTATGGCAGCAAACAAACGCAAAGCCAATGAATGGATGAATAAAGAATTATTTACAAAATAATATATTTAAGTTAATATTTCGAAAAAGTTAAATAATTGTTAATGTGTCCCTGGCTTTTGAGATAAATATGATCCATAGTATATATATATATATATATATATATATATGTACATATTTAAAGTTTTGTGTAATATCTTGAAGCAAATAATTTAACAAACTTACTTTGCTGCTTTTACTATAATGACGTCCTCAATGGAAAGTTGCTCTTATTAGTTCGTTTCTTCACATACTTTCAGTAAACAAGTAAATAAACAATTTGGTTTGTTGTGTTAAATCTGTTTACTAGTTGGCAACAGAAACAGTAGAGCGTCTTCTTTTATTTAATGTAATTTCAAATGTAATGAAAATAATTTGCGGTTAAGGCTTAAGTTGCCTTTTTGTGTCCTTCTGCCTAATACGTATACCATTTCAGAGAATTCAAGAGTACGCTCTTCCTCGCCTTCCTTCACCGCAAAGATCCAACACCCTTTCATTATAATATTTAATGCAAGATATTTGAAAAATACTAAATTCTTCAATAGGTTTGTAACTCTTGATTAGCATAAGGTTTTTTAAATTTTGATTTAATTATGTAATGACATATATTTGTCTATCTGTTCACTGCACAAATATTTCCAATTATTCGAAATTTAAGCTTTTTAACTTCAATTATGTAACTCTTCAAACTCTGATTGTTTCTGCGTTTTCAAATGATTTCATCAATATTTGTCTTTCTATGCAGCACTAAATATGTTCATCTCAGGGATGCATGTTCTTTAATATTCATCCAAGTATTTTGATATATTTCCCTGAAGGCGAGGCTGAACAGAGTTTAATTTGATTTTCACTGAGTTAATTTGAAGACCGATGATGGAAGAAGATTCCAAATAACTTATCCCTTTGCTAGAAATTTAAAGATTTAAATTCACTTACACCCAAGTTTGCATAACGGAGTGATCTTAAATTGAATGAAGAATCAAGGGATAAATGACGATGAGCATCCAAGATTCGTTCCAAAGTGAATATAAATTTCGTATTTATCTTTCGTTGTTTTTTCCCTTTTTTATATTTATATATATATATATATATATATATATATATATATATTGTTTTTTATGGTTTGGATAAGTCTAGCATTTCTGGCCAATTAAAATGAGAAATCCTTTGTGATTACTATGGTCTTTCGGTTGAGAACTTTGCCTTCTTCTATTCTTCTTCGTTCTGGTGCGTTTTATGACTTTACTCTGCAACGTTATGGAAACTTATTTGTTGTGTATTTAGCTCAGACTCCCTCCATCCATCCATCCATCCATCCAACCATCCATTCTCGTAGGTTGTTATATATATTAATTAAAAAATGTTTTGTTAAAGGATTTTCCCTTTTCAGTTTCGTTTGAGTATAGAAATCAAAAGTTGTTAAAGAATTTGTTTGAAGGGTATTCTCCTTTTTTTAATGGCAAAAATAATGTATATAGCGTAACGTAGGAAGGAAATTAAAGAATTTCTTAGACATTGCGGAGAGATATGTCCTTTTCATAGTTAACGAAATACCATCGGTTAGAGAAGCAATTTTCAAACGATAACACAGATGCTACAATATAGAAAACTTTAGTCTCACTTATATCTGCTTTCCGTTGCCATGCTCCTATCGCTGCATCATCAGTCATTTTTTTTTTTTTTTGTTTTTTTTTTTTTATATAAAAAAATTAAAAACTAACTGAAAAAAATATATTTTAAAATTTTAAAAAAAAAAAAAAAAAAAAATGAAAAAAAAATTTAAGCAAAAAGGTCAGTTAATGGTTCACATTTTTTTTTTTTTTCTTTTTTTTTAAATAAGAAAAGAAACATATGTTTTTGCTGTATAAATTCTGTAATGCTTGTTCTTATTTCTCTCTTGTTTCAAAAAACAAAAAAAAATTGCTTGCCTTTTGAGAAAAGAAAGTTTTCAAATTTTAGAAACCGAAGGCACAAAGCTGAGTACACTTAACTTGAATAAAAAGTTACGATTTCTTTTCTTTTTTCTGTTTACTTTACCGTTAAAGAAAGTTTTGTAACCAAATTTGACAAACAAAAATAATAACAAGACCGTGATCTTCGTATAACTTACGAGTTAAGTTAAGACCATAAAATTAGTGAAAAGCATGAAAAAGTCCTATCCATTTAAAGAAAATCCTTTTTTATATATTTATATATATATTGGATTGTAGTGTGGCGCAAACTTTTGAGCACTTTAAAAGTTTTCATTGTCCTAACACAAGTCCAATTGTATGGTTTGTTTTCTTTGAAAATGTGATAAGTCCACTCGGGATCATCAAAGGTATGAATTCCTTTTTTAATTAATACATTAAAAATTGATGACATATTATATTAGTTAAAATTTATAAAACTAATATCAATCTATTCATTTTTATACGAAATTTGACTTAATAGGAAATAAAAAGAAAAAATTCTCCTTTTAAACGAATTGTTTTGCCTTAATACGATTTTCAATATTCTATGAATTCTTTTTATACATTTTTTTCATGTATTTTTTTCTTCTTTTGTTTTATTTTATGTTTCTATAGCAATGATATTGTAGTCTTACGCAAACGTATGCGTTTATTATCACAATTTGCTTATATTTAAATTATTTTTATTTGTTTTTTTTTTTTTCAAATTATAATTTATTTTTTTATAATATATTTAATAAATTGCATTTTTTAATATTGTTTATTGTACTATTGTTGTGTGTTGCTTTTTTAAGTTCGGAATCATTTAGCCAATATCTTTTTTTACACGCATTTTTTTTGCACGAAATATTTTACGCAAATTTTCTGGGAACGCATTTATTTATTATGTGAAAAAAGAATTGGTGTCTATTCATATTTGTTAGGTTTAATACAAATACAAATCGTTAAACATCTTCATATAATATATAAATTGGACTTACTCCACTTGCAAGGAAAATACTTCATATAAAAAACTCGCACATAATTGTAGCAAAGCAGTGTTTGATTTTTATACATATACACTAGCAGAGACGCAAAAAATTGGATTAGGTGATACCATGCCGATTTAGAATCAGTTATGTCTATACCAGCCGATGTGAGGTCTGTGCATGAATTTTTGTTATTAGTCTACAGTTCGCAATTGTCGGTCTATTCACTAATATGCCAAAGGCCGATCCTATTGAAACTAGTTTTCTGAACACCTCCTCCATAACCTACGTCTCATGTTGTACAGGTGGGTTTTAAGTTTTTGCGGATAAATGCAACACTCGGAGGGACTTAAGATAGATTAAAAATTATTATGCCGATCGATTCAGAAACAATTTTTGAATCGATTTAAGCTTGTCTGTCCGCCTGATCATCTTCTTTTCTTGTGTTAACAACTAAAATTATTGAGATACTTTGATGAAATTTAATATACTGACGTGTTTTGATCCAAGGATGAAAGCTATTGAAAATCGGTCCGAACGAATCAGTTTTTCGACTTCTTCCCATGCATCTCATTTTGAAGAATCGTTATCTGAATACTTGTAGGGTATTATCTCTGCCGTACTTAATACCAATCGTCTTTGGCGTCTAGTGATCCTTGCAAAAAATAGAAAATCGCGTATTTTACTTGCGAAAAATTAAAATAAAGTTTGGGCTTATATATATTTTGGGGAGTCGTTTGCTCGCCTCGGAAACAAACGAGAAATAACATGAGATGTCAAATGCAAAGAAGTCATCAGCTCCAATCCAAATGAAAAATGATACTAAAGGATATTTACAAAGCGAAGAATGCATGTCGAAAAAAACTTAGAGTAGACAGACTAACACATACTATTTTATCCCTTATTAAGTTGAGCTACTTAGGAGATGAAAGTGAAGAGCTTTTTATTCTCTGATACCCATTACTTAAAAAGTATGTTGTTACCTTCTGTAACATGTCCTTTCAATCTTCTACAGATTCATAAAATGTAGAAAGTGAAGAAAAACTCATAGTTCATAATTTTTGAAAAATTTGATCGAAATTTCACGCTTTGGGAAGAACATGAAGCAAATCAATCAGTCTATAGTTCTGTCCATTTTTTTTTTTTTTTTCTTAATATCGCAAAGCAAGATGAAAAAGTAATCAAATTATAAATTGAAGTGCAGTTTAAAACAACCTTGTGTTGATGGCGTGTTGAAGCTAAATGGATTTTAAAACTCTCGCTGGTGTTTTTCTATCGCTTTTATAACAAGAAAAAAATAAAAAATAAAAATAAATAAATAAATATAAAAAACCTTAAAAAAAAGTTTGTACAAAGTGTTCTTTATTGTTTTTTAGGGTTCTGGTAAAATTGTTTTTCTCTCTGTGTCTTTCTTCTTTTTTTTTTTTTTTTATATAGAATTCGCATCTCCTAAAAGCTTTAGGTTGACAAGCTTTTAATGGCTTTCAGTTCAGGAAAGAAAAAAAAAAAAAAAACAGAAAAACTAAAAACAACAATAACGGGGAAAAACCACAAACACTTGTCAGCACTTCCGGTTATATATATGCATACATATGTATGTGATATATATATATATATATATATCTATATATATAACACACGTTATTACAACACCCGTACATACACGTACAAATGCCGAGTTATTAGGGACAAAAATATCCTATAGTTGTGTTTTACTTAAGAGTCTTCTATTTTTATGTCATTTACAGGTTCCTTTATATTCTTAACCATTGAGAGCGAAGACTCGCAGTTATTACAACAGCAAAGAACATTGGCCTCCACTAAAAGGGGTGGAAACGGTGCTGGTCCCACACATACATTGGGACGTAGTGGGAACGCTAATATGAACAGCAACAACATTTATCATAATATTCAGCTTACACAACAACAACAACAACAGCAGCAACAACAGACGCTACAACAGCATTTGGATAATGGCACTTTAGTTAGTCCTGCCATCTCATCATCATCATCTTCAGCCACAGCATCATTAGCATCATCCTCGTCATCGTCATCGTCATCGTCATCGACATCTATGCTAGAGGGCATGCTCAGCATGAATGGCAATAATAATGATTTTGTTTATGGTGACGACGCCACACCTCAATACGCTTTAGCCCCGGATACCTATGATGTGCGTCAACGTACCATTGAGAATATATGGGATATAACGGTTTCCCTTAACATACTATATAAGGAAAATTGGACAAAGTAAGTGGCGAGAAGAACGACCAAAATGGCTTAATAGAATTTTCTTTACCCATTTTCTGGTGTTTTTTTTTTTTCTCGTTTTATTTTTCTTCCATTATTTTTTTTTTTCTTTTGACACTTTTTTCTTATATTTTTGTTTCGCTTTCTTCTTTTCTTTCTTTCTTATTTATTTATTTTTTTTATTTTTATTTTTTTTTCTTTCTTTCTCTGGTCGTAGATTGGCTGCTCTGGAAATTGCTAAATTTCAAGACCAATTAATCAAGAGACTGAACGAGGATGCTCTTCTACAATTATCGCCCGAAACGGATGTCAATGGTAATAACCCCGCAACGGAAGCCGTTCTGCTTTACCATCAACATCATGGCGGCACACCAGCACATCACTTGCATCACTCACATTTTTATCATGAATGGAATTTTGCTAAAGCATTTTTTTACTCGTTAACCGTGTTAACAACAATAGGTAAGTTATGCGATTTTATTATTATTCTTGTTTTTCTCGTTATTTTCAAAAGAAAATTTTTTTTTTTTGTTGAAAAAATTAAAAACATAAAACATATACATAATTCACATAAATAAATATTCAAATCAATTTTTCTATCCTTTAAACTATATCCTGCCGCTCAAGATTTGAGAATGCGTAATTATCAATCTCTCAATTCTGTTAAGCAAATTTCTTTAAATTGTAATTTAATATTGATTTTTTTAATCTTCAGCAAAGACAAATAACTAAACTTTAACTTACTTATGTTACTCTAGATATGTTTCCATGTAAGATAAACAATATCAAACCTAAAAGTCAGAGTTTTAATTAGTAGCAATTTGTCAAGATTAAAATTAGATATGAAGACAAGGTATATCATCACTCGATGAAAAAGCAATCACTTTCCCGTTCATAATCTCGTGTACGTTTTAGTTAACACCCGATTAGACCCTGGATATCACTTTCTCATATCGGCAAATGTTATATCTGCGGCCATATGCAAATCGTAATTAAAGCATGCTCTACCACTCTAGTACTTCAATTCGAACAAGCCGATTGAATAGTTGTACTTCTTACCTCCCAGCCTAAGCAGTAGATTAACTTTTTTGATGGCTATACGAAATACCAAACATAGCTTCAAGATCCCTTACATAGAAGGTTTGAATTCAACCTTTTTTACCAGTTGTGAATATGTGTATATAGCTAGACTACGCCAATTAGCCCATTAAAATTCTGTATGGGCTTAAGTTTTAATTTATATCTGCTATCGATTGTAGATCACAGTTTCTTGATCCCCTGTGAGCGCGTGTAGAGGGAAATTCTACACTCATTTGAAAACTATGCGATCACCATGCATTAATTAGCCTAAAATTTGGGACAATTGGTATTCCAAGAACAGATGACAAACAGACCGGCAGATGCAGAGGGTTAAATTGACTCAGAACGTTATGGTGCTAGGTTGAGATAATGGATCAATAAAAATCTCTAAAAACCTGTGTTTCCGTAGATGATTTAAAGTTAAGCCCTTACATCAAACCGAAAGGTGGCCAAAGTATGTGCCAAAATCAATATAGCAGTGGATATGAAAATTAGAAAATTGGTTGCGGATTTGTTATCAATCGATGGTATTGCGGCTTGTTCTTTCTTCAAGTTTCAAGAGACTTAGTCTTAACTCTCAATGCGACTGTACTTAGGAGAATAGGCCACAATTCGATATTTTTGGAGTTATATAGCATGCAGCTCTGCCCGAAAAATTTTAATATAACTATTCAACCCTTCGATAGTGGGACATAATAGTCTTCCGTTTTGAGTGATATTCGGATTGCGAAGACATTTGCAAATTAATTATTAATTGTCTTTAACAAGTAGCAAAACGTGAACGTTCAGTTTAAAATAAGCAAAGGCATTAACTTTGAAAATTTGCATTGAAAAAGAAGAAGAAGAAAAAATCTTTTTTTTTTTTTTTTGTTTTAAGAAAAGAAGTTCTTGTTTAAAACTTTGAAACAAAAAACAAAAAAGTACAAAAACTCAGTAATGCTTCTATTCGTTTAACTCGTCGGGCCCACACACACTGCACACTCCTATTTATAAAATGATCGAATGTATATATATGTATATATGCGAATTTAAATCAAATGCTTTTTTAATTGATTTTTTAATTGATTTTAATCACGAAAAAAAGTTAACATTCGATATTTTACTAATCTGCTGATGTTTTTGACGAGTTTCCGAAAATTTAATATAATTCATTTTCATTCATTTCGTGAATGAAGATTCTCTCTATAATATCTACAGCGAATCAAATCTATCGCTAACAAAGCTATTTAATTTTATTTACATAAAAAATGAAATTTTTTCTTTTATTTTTCTTTACATATTGAAAGAAAATGCTTGAATGAAATTTTTCTCTTTTGAAAAGAAAAAGACGAAGAAAAAGAAAATATTCTTTTTATGCGTGCATGTGTGTATTAAGAGAGAAAAAACAAAAAAAACAAAAAATGATTCCAAAAAGCTAATAAAATAAACATAAAAAAGATTTCGAGTAAAGCTATATAAAGCAGCAACACTCAGCATTAAACCAAATTCAGATTATAAGAGCGATACTCGTACATTAAGTTTTATTGCTCATCTGTAAGCGTATGTGCATATTTAAGTGCGGATACAAAATTTAGTCATAGTGAATGGCATTTAAAATGAAAAAAACAAAAAAAATTCCTTAAAATGAAAAGAGAGAGAGAGAGAATGTGAAGAAATCGTGCACTGCACAAATAATAATCAGACGTTAACATCATTCACGGATTGTGCACTATCGTATCGTATCGTATCGACAGTGTTGATAACATTCTGCAAAAAGAAAAAGAAAATGTAATTTTATGTATGTTTGTGTGTATGTGTGCGTATTGAAGAGCGTATCGAATACAAAGGATAAAGAGCGAGGGAAAAAGCGAATGCGAAGCCAATATTAACGCTACAAACAATTGATAGTAATGGCAGCATATCGAGTTAACAGCAATACTCATCTCTCAACCATCAGTTCTAGTTACCAATTGCTTTGACAGCAATTTTCAATGAACCAAATATTGTGTTTTCCTTGCAAGCACAAAAAAAAAAAAAAAAAAAAAAAAATCACATACAATGATCCCCGATACTAACATGCTTAGTCATAATCTCAGTTGGATTTGGTAATTTTACGAATTCTCCTCCCCCTCATCTTCTTGAATAACTCGATATTCCCCATTCTTTTTAAATCAGATCGCAACCATCGTATAAAGTTTTTTTATGAGCAAATAGCATATATTGGGAGAGACAAAAAAAGTGATAAGAAGAGACAACAAAACCCCCTATAGGATGGGGGAGAGAGAGAGAGAGAGAGAGAGAGCGACGATGGATGTGATAATGAAAAGAAAAGTGAGAGCAGTACACCAACTACTTACATGCATATGCACTTAAATGAACGTAACAATTTATGGTATGCGTGCGCTGATGAATGTCACTTAAATTCAGACTTGGATTTAGCATTTGTGTGTACGTAACATATGCACAACGCGTTCACGATTTACATACTTTATCGTAAGTGGTTCAATGCCATACAATCATTTCAAAAAGGAAAAATCTTGGAATTGTTTTAAAAGAGCATTTTATACGATCTTAAACAATAGAAATTTTCAAAATTGAACAATGTCGTGAATGCATTGAAATTTCTCGAAAGTACTTAGAATTGCGTGTTGCGTCTCCTACACCTAATTCTCTTTTTGTACGAACATTTTTAACACGAGTTAAAAAGAAAAAAAATTCTCTTTATGAATTTTTTTTTTCATTCTCACTCCTCACAAACATGCATAGACTAAAGACGTAAGATTTAGTTTGATGTTTCAAAGTATAATTGATTTTTTATAAAATATTTGAAGAAATGAAATTTGTAAGCACAAAATAAATTCTTAAGTCAACTCTAAGAAGAATTTCTTAATAATTTCTTAATAATTGTACTTTTCCGTCACTTTTTAAGATCTGGAATCAATTTACTTACATTTTTTTTTTTCATTTAGTTAAAAACTTTTTTTACACGAATTTTTTTACACGAAATTTTTGGAAACGTATCTATCGTAGAAAAACGGAATTAGGTGTACATATAAATCCTGCCCGTTAATGCTTTCTATTTACCTTGCGGTTATCTTGAATCTTTGTAATTGATAAAATATTATTCACATTCGAATAAAGTTCTGATTTAATCTTTATACATATACATATCTATATTTACATGTATAAACATTGTATACATACTTAACGAATATAAAAAATGATGATCATATCCTTACTATTAGAATTAATGATATTTGATTAATATTTAATGTAAAGTAATTCAAATTCACGATCAACAGAGTAGTAAAGAGTTAATGAAAGTAAGCAAAAAATGTGTGACGACTGCACGATTTTACAAATTGATTCGACAACTTTTACTTAACAGCTGACCGTGTTTCGCTGCAACGTGACCTTCTTTGTTTCGCTCTATGTTATTTTTGCAAAGAAAAAACTACATCGGCAGATACTAGGTGGACAGACGGTGGAGAAACATGCTTGGATCGTTTTAGAAAATGTTTTTGAATCAAATCGATAATAATAATAAAAAAAACGAGTCTATCTTAAGACCCTCTGAATTCTATGTACGATGCCTGCAACACATTTATTATAGAATATAAAAATAAAAGTAATAAACGTGACTTTACCGATAGAGGGATATAATAACGACAACGACAACGACAACGTAGATTATGATAATACTAATATCAAGAATATTCGTTCTATCATAATAGTCGTATAGGGTAAAACATAGTATTAAGTGAATTTGTTTTTTTTTTTTTCATTCATTTTTTTTTAGCTTTATTGTTACTTTTGTAGAAAGACACTGAATATGTATGTAATTGATGAGCTTTTAAATCATTTCAACGCCTCTATATGTTATAGATATCTGTTTGAATGTTGTACAATTCATTTCGATTGAAATTTATCTGAAGTGAACAGCCTATCTCGCTAAAGCAAAGTGAAAGAAAGGAGAAGAAAAACAAAAAAAAAAAAAAATCCTCGCATCTGCCAATAATATGTTTTTTTGCTGATTTCAGCAAGATTTGCGATAAAAAAATTTGTGTTTTCGTTTTTTTTTTTTTTTTTTTTTGCGAATGACATTAACACAATGTCTTTTAAGTCGATTTTTTCCGATTTCTCTTCTTCCCTTCACGCACATCATAGTTGGTTTTGTCTTAGATAAAATGTGGTTATCCATCCATTATTACCGGCAAAGTAGGTAACTTCACTCATTTCATATGTTTGTAACAGAACAGAGAGAGAGTAACTTAACTCAGAGCGCATAAGGTAACGTTATTCTTGTGTAATTCTCTCATCTACTAAGAAATTCATGATTACATCGTAGAAGCATCGAACTTAGGGATATATTCTGGTGTTGCGACCTTTGTGACTTTTATTTT